TTCTAACAAGAGACCTGCACAGTCAGAGACGGTCAAATGAGAAAACAGGTAAAACTTTTGTTTATCTCACTATATCATTGATGTAAACCTGATGTTGTTCATGTTACACAGAGACTCTGTTTCGTTCCATACATTTTCTTTTTTTAACAGAGGTCCATTTGCACCGTTGGTGGTCTTTTAGCGATTTTTTTCAGATGTTTTAACTCCAAAGGGTAAACTGTACGCAGTCTTATGATGTTCCTGGTATAAGGACTATAATCTTTTTGGTTACAGATGATTTTGACATAAACAAGAGACACTCCCCGGTTTGGGTGTCTTGCCTAGAGTATCGAAACTTAAAGACGACAGCTGTGTAAGATTTCGGAAAAGTCGTTGCTATTGAGGCAGATGAAACATGTAGATAGATATGTACACCTAACAATCATTCCAAACACCAAATAAAGTTACCTTATTGATTATGGCATCTGATAAACAGACCTAATTAGAAGGGTTTTACACGACAAATTAACTATAAAAATAAGGTCAAATTTAGAAGAAACTTGCAAGACGAACATGTACACCTAACAATCATGGCCATATAACAAACGGAAACTTCGTAACATGAGGCACCTGTATACAAGGTATGAAGCATATATAGGTCCTTCTGAAATATAAAGCTTTCTACAATTATACAAAGAACAAACGCAGCCAAATGCCAGCGGATTATTAATGCCTATGTCTCGCATTCTGCAAAGGCGAGACCAAAACCACCCCTCCCTTTAAAACAGAAATTATGCACGGTCGGTGCCTTACAGCCCTGCATCATGCTATACTTATATTTCAAGATTAATAGCCATACAGATCCTAAATTTTAAAACCTTAATTTGGCTTATACTTTTGAATGTTGACATGATAATATACACGTATACCAATTTTAATGTTGATGTGACTATGCCTTCATGGTCAATTATTACCCTCAACCAAACTTTAATCTGAGACTATATTGTTTTCACACTATCACTTTACTATATAAAAAATGTGATAGGAATGGCAAAGAGACAACTTTTTCCTAAAGACCAGATGGTTTGGATGTAATTCTCAACTATGAGTCACTGTATGGTCTTCAACAATGGGCATAACCAATACCGTACAGTAAGCTATAACAATCTTATCATGACAGGCTGTAACAAAATCATACAAAATACCGACGACCTGATTTGTTGTTAAACAAAAATCAATCAAATATGACAGATAACAACCAAGGAAGATAACCACGGACTTTGGACAGGCAAATATAGAATGTGGTAGGGTTAACATGTTGGCCAGTGCTCAACTAAATACCAATAATCTAGGTCAGTGGTGAAATATCCCAAATATATATATAACTGTTTTAGCGGACTTAAACTGATGTCTTCCCTTTATATCTTGAAGTCATTCCAGTAAAGAAAAAAGACACTACAAACTCATTCTTTTACTAAAAAAGCAAATAATAATATAAATGTTCGCCTTCAAATTTATGCCCAGTCTCAAAGCTGTCCTTTCCACATATCTGTATTCTATTCTCTATTTTATCATAGATGTCACAAATCTATGTTCCTCTTTTCTCAAATCTTAGTCCTTTTTAACAAGGTGTGCAGTGTCCTATGCGTCGACTTCATAATTATCAAAACGTCTTGTAGGAATAATTTTGGTTGTAAAAAATATCAATACGTCTATCATATTCATCAGTGAAGGCAACGAAAAAATTCATGCGGTTTCGACAGAGAAAGGAGAAACTAGAAGTAAGAGAAGTGAGAGGAAGCAGCCGAAAACAATAGAAGATGATCAGAGAACCAGGAGAAAAAAGACTTTCAGTTTTTCGCATATTAAAAAAAGTAAAAATTACTTGTATTCTTTATCTTTCAGTTACCATTTTTTTTTTTTTGTAATCAAAGAAATAGCTTAATTATAGTGAATTCGAAAACAGTCAGAATATTACAGCTTTTTTTCTCTCAATATAGAAACATTAGTCAAAACTTCTTTTTTCGATGGAAATTGGGGGGGGGGGGGGGGGAGGGGTGTATAGAAGTCTTTATTTTATCTATTAGTTGAAATGCAAGCTTTATGCTAATCTGATCATTAAAAAACCCCTCTCCATCTGAATTTGACAGTTTGTTATTGTGTTATGTTGTTATACAACGGTCCTAGGGTAGGGTAACGTGCAGCGTTTTCATCGATTCATATTCCATATGTAATTGTCATTGTTAACGTCGCATTACTGAAAGTCTACTTTATAAAAAGACACCGATTTGAATAAACTAAGACTTAATGATGTCATGGGATACATGTATTTGAGGAACAGACACCTATATATATGAGGCTGGAGAAAGTACCACAGTTTCGAACGTCATGACGTCATGGGACACATATTTGAGGCCGCACATAGATTTGACTCTTAAATATATATAGTTCATGGATGGGAATGTTAATGATTTTCAATATATTTTACAATTTATTACATGTAGGGGTCTGGCATGCTTCGCCCCTATCACAGGATGTCAGTGTCAAAGGATAAAAAGGTCATGTTATAGGCACAGAAAGGTCCTGACCGTGGGGTAAATCGGTCATGGTTCTCATGACCTTTTTCATGGGCAATTAATAATTTGCTTTGAAAGGGTCTGGCAGTGGCAATAAGAATATTATTTGAAATGGAAGTGAACATACAAAAATAAACATTTTACTTTCAAGATCAAAGGTCAATTAATCCAATGTTATCTTCTACGGTACACGACCCATGTGCCAAATATCGTAAGCATTTGTAAAGGGATAATTAATATAAAAACGTTATTTTGTAGACACGAAAATTTCAAAAATATATCACCTTTCATGACATTGAGGTAAAAAGGTCAAGGGCGGGCATACACAAATATATTATTTCACTTTTAAAGTCAAAGTACCAGGTCATGTGCCATTGTACGCGACACATCGTTATGAGGTGTTGCATCCATAAGCCAAATATCAGAAGCCAAGGTAATTCAGTGGTATATTGAAACGAAGTTGGTTCTGTCTACGGACCTTAAATAAGGTCTTGTATATATGTATCTACATGATTTATTAGACAGCAACCCAATATATTTCTTGACGTTTTACTCATGATATAGTTTGGTCGATGCTTTCGCTCCATGACATTATAACTTCTGGTATGATTATGTCTTAAATAGTTTTATTAGGTGTTGTATTTACTGGTTTATTGCACCAGTTTATAGTGTTTTAATCCTGTGTCTGTCCACTATATAAAATTCTGCTGAATCAAAAACTTGAGTATCCCTTATGGTAAAATGCGGCTTCGGGGACACTTATCAAACAGTTGCGATATAGAGTGACTATTTTGCTCTTATAAAAGAGAGGGTTAGACACCAAATGGTCAATCAAAGTTATAAGTCGAAAACAAACTGACAATATCATGTCAATAAAAAGGAAAAAGACCAAAAGAAAATCAACAGTTTACGAAACACAACATAGAAAATAAAGACTGAGGATCGCGGACGCCACAAAAAAAAAAAAAAAAAAAAAAAAAAAAAAAAAAAAAAAAACCAGGAGTGTTCTCAGGTCTGGGCTTTTGCCATTGTTGAAGGCCGTACAAAGCCCTACAGTTGTAAATTTCTGTGTCATTTGGTCTCTTGTGGAGAGTTGTCTCATTTGCAGCAATCATACGACATCTTCTTATTTTTATAATCAATGATTTTGGTACCGACAATAATAAAGTTGCGATAGACATACGGACAAAATGTAACTAGCCCGAGTAAATGGTAGTGCTCGTTTCAAGGGAACAAACAAAATTATAGTCCGATGTTTCCACACCTTAATGTAGCTATCAGGTTCAAAACCAGCGAAATAAACGGAAACAACTTATATTCAAATAATTCTGTCTAAGAATACAAATAAATGCAAGATTAACCAAAGTAGTCTTATTCTGTCCTAAATAGGCCCTTGAGCAAACAGTCTTTAAATCGTTTTACTGGAAATATGTCTCTGCAACTCAAATCTTAATTCCAAATTCTAGATAAGGCAGGTATTAAATATTGCAACAGGAGAGACGACATTTAATTGGATCCGGGTAAACCTGAATAATATTTCATGAACAAAGGGGAGTAATCGTGAGACACTCTAATCACTCAAATTAACTCAGGCTTTTTATCTGTAATAAAATAATTCAGAAATACAATTTTTATTAGATAAAGGCAAGAGTAGTACACCGCTGTTCAATAGTTATAAATCGATTAAGCGTCAACTGTAAGAGGAAAACAACGGAACAACAGAAACACTGAACTGCTACAAAAACAAACGCCAACATACATAGAAACGATAAAATTGAGAATGGAAATGGGGGAAACGGACTATTTGATAACAACTGCCATATTCCTGACTTGGTACAGGACATTTTAGGGAAAAATGGTGGGTTGAAGCTGGTTTTATGGCTAGTCAAACCTTCCGATTATAAGTCAATGTTAAAAATACCGCTAAAATGACAACATTACGTCACAGGAATACAGTACAAATAAACGCAAGAACACTCATGACAGAGAAATACATAAATAAATAATATAATAGTACATTAAAATAAGGACACATCACGTCTATGACATTTTACTTAGGGCTGACCATCACTTCTTATATCTTTCATTCGGGAACAATAGTTATACTCTGAATTTCCCTTATTGTAGGCTATCGATGCCATGACCTTTCATCAATTTATTGTTAATTGTTCGACGAAATGCACCACTGAATATTCAACAAGTGTTTTTTTAATATAAAGCTTGACAATCTGTTTACAACTATAAACAGGAATGTCAATAGCAGTATTTATAAATCATATTTACTATGTCGCTATATCATTTTTTTCGTCATTCCTATTGACAATATACCATCTTTGTCAAATGCATTGCAATTTCTTTCTTTTCCAAAAGTATATCTGCTGTCTCCTCATAATTATTATAACAAGCAAAAAAAAGAGAAAAAAAAGGAAGATGCTCCTTCATCCTTTATCTTATTTCATAAATGGTTGCCTTGTTGTCAAGTAATATCTTTACTATCTCTATATGTTTTTTCAGACAAGCAATATACAAAGGAGTTGCTCCTGTATCCCTACACTTATTAATGTCTGCCTTATTGTCAAGTAATAACGTAACTGTCTCTTTATGATTATTTTGACAGGCAACATACAAAGGAGATGCTTCATTATTATCACACTTATTAATATCTGCCTTGTTGTTCAGTAATATATTTACTGTCTCTTCATGATTATTGTAACACGCAATATATAAAGGAGATTCTCCATTATTTGTACACTTATTAATGTCTGCCTGGTTGTTCAGTAATGCTTTAACTATCTCCATATGATTATTCTGACAAGAAATAAACAAAGGCGATTGTCCATTATCTCTACACTTATTAGTGTCTGCTTTGTTTGCCAGTAATACATTTACTGTCTCTATATAGTTATTCTGACAAGCAATATACAAAGGAGATGCTCCGTTAGCATCACACGTATTAATGTCTGCCTGTTTGTCCAATAAAACCTTTACTGTCCCTGTATGATTATTGTAACAAGCTATATTCAAAGGAGATGCTCCATTATTTGCACACTTATTCATATCTGCCTTGTTGTCTAGTAACAACTTTACTATCTGTAAATGATTATTCTGACAAGCAATATATAAAGGAGATGATCCATCATCACTACACTTATTAATGTCTGCCTTTTTGTCCAGTAATAGCTTTACTGTCTCTTTATGATTATTGTGACAAGCAATACACAACGGAGAAGATCCATCATCTCTACACTTATTAATGTCTACCTTGTTGTCCAGTAATAGATTTACTGTTTCTGTATTATTATTCTGACAAGCAATATATAAAGGAGATGCTTCATTATCATCACACTTATTAATGTCTGCTTTTTGGCAAAGTAATACCTTAACGATCTCATTGTAATTATTGTAACACGCAATATGTAAAGGAGATACTCCATAATCAGCACTCTTATTAATGTCTGCTTTGTTGTTAAGTAATACCGTAACCGTCTCTATATGATTATTCTGACAAGCAATATATAAAGGAGATGCTCCATCATTATCACTCTTATTAATGTCTGCCTTTTGGTCAAGTAATATCTTTACTGTCTCTTTATGATTATTGTAACACGCGACATGTAAAGGAGATGCTCCATTATCAGCACTCTTATTAATGTCTGCCTGGTTGTTCAGTAATAACTTTACTATCTCTTTATGATTATTCTGACACGCAATATATAAAGGAGCTGCTCCATCATCATCACTCTTATTAATGTCTGCCTTGCTCTCCAATAATACCTCTACTATCTTTATCTGATTATTCTGAGAAGCCATAATCATAGGAGATGCTCCATTATCATCACATTTATGAACATCTACTTTCTTATCTATTAATATCTTTACTGTCTCTATATGATTATTCTGACAAGCAACATTCAGAGGAGATCCTCCGTTACCATCACACTTATTAATATCTGCTTTGCTGTCTAGTAATAACTTAACTGTTTCTTTATGATTATTCTGACAAGCAATATATAGCGGAGAAACTCCATTAGCATCACACTTATTAATGACTGCATTGTTGTCCAGTAATACCTTAACTGTCTCTATATAATTTTTGTAACACGCAACATTCATAGGAGATGCTCCATTCTTTGCACACTTATTAATATCCGCCCTGTTGTTTAGTAATAACTTAACTATCTCTTTATGATTATTCTGACAAGCAATATACAGTGGAGATGTTCCATTATCATCCCATGTATTAACATCTGCCTTGTTGTTCAATAACATCTTTACTGTCTCTATATGATTATTGAAACAAGCAATATGTAAAGGAGATGCTCCATTATTTGCACACATATTAATGTCCACATTGTTGTCTAGTAATACCTCAACTATCTGTATATGATTATACTGACAAGCAATAAATAACGGAGAAACTCCATTAGCATCACACTTATTAATGTCTGTATTGTTGTCCAATAAAACCTTAACTGTCTCGATATGATTATAGAAACAAGCAACATTCAAAGGAGATACTCCATTGTTTGTACACTTATTAACGTCTGCCTTGTTGTCTAGTAATGCCTTAACTATCTGTATATAATTTTTCTGACAAGCAATGTATAACGGAGAAGCTCCGTTAGCATCACACGTATTAATGTCTGCCTTGTTTTCCAGTAATAGCTTTACTGTCTCTATATGATTATAGTAACAGGCAACGTTCAAAGGAGGTGGTCCATTATTTGCACAATTATTAATATCTGCCTTGTTGTTCAGTAATATATTTACTGTCTCTATATGATTATTGTAACACGCTACATTCATAGGAGATGCTCCATTATTTGTACACTTAATAACGTCTGCCTTGTTTTTAAGTAATACATTTACTGTGTCTACATGCTTATTTTGACAAGCAATATATAAAGGAGATTGTTCATTATCATCACACTTATCAATGTCTGCTTTGTTTTCCAATAATAGCTTTACTATGTCTATATAATTATAGTAACAAGCAACAATCAAAGGAGATGCTCCATTATTTGCGCACTTATTTATGTCTGCCTTGTAGTAAAGTAATACCTTTACTGTCTCTATATGATTATTGTAACACGCTATATGCATAGGAGTTGCTCCATTATCTCTACACTTATTAATGTCTGCCTTGTTTGTAAGTAATACCTTTACTGTGTCTACATGCTTATTCTGACAAGCAATATATAAAGCAGATGTCCCATTAACTGCACACTTATTGATGTCTGCCTTTTTATCAAGTAATAACTTCACTACGTTTTTATGGCCCTCCTGTGCTGCTATATACAGTGGAACCAAATCATCAAACCTATACGGATTAACTTCAACACCATGATAAAGACACCACCCAGTGAAGGGAGTGTCCCCTAAGTAACAACACTGAATCAATGTAGTACATTCGGTATTAACATCATAGGTCAGTGCTAATTGTCTTTGGACTTGAATATCAAGGGTTTTTAAAGAACAAAGGAATCTCTCTTTAAACTCTGATGCCTTCATATTGATGTTGTTAAACACGTATTGTACTCTACCATTCGACCAGTCATCAATCATTCTTTGTATGTACATTTGATGGTATTCAGGTGGTACTAGAGTGATAAACTGATCCATGTTATCTTTTCTTTCTAATAGAAATCTCTGCATAATAATCCCACTGTCTCCATTCTTGATTAAACATTGGATCATATTTTTACCAAAATAGAAAGACAAGAAGTCAAATATTTTATCATGTATAGTTTTGAATATCCCTTGTTCTTTCTTAATGAAAGAATATTCAAGTGTCTTCAATTCATTTAGTAGAAACAACCGTGATGTTCCTCTGTCCAGTCTACATGCCTCACATGTATTCTCTATCATTGTTTTTATCACTGTATCAATTTCTTCTGTAAACCATGTTTCTTTCAGTCTATTGTTGAACATCACACATAAAGCCAGAGCACAATATTTTCCATTATTTCTTTTTTTAAGAAGCTTGTCAATCTCTGCTTTATACACTGAAAATGGATATTCGAAGAAATCTGTATTATTGAGGGCAGGATTATCATGATACAATTTACAAAGAAGTGGAAAACAATCATATAAATCACAGAACTTAGTTATCTCTAAATCTTTTGTATCAAGATATAAATCAGCAATTGACTGTTTCTCTTCGCCAGATAAACACAAATCTTCTGACATCAAGTTGCATACACATTTCCTAAAAATGGATAACTGTTCAAATTTGTCATCCTGATACACTTGTAGTCTGCATGCCACAATGATTTTTGTCATTTTATTTTGCATCAGTTCTTTTATACGTTCGATTACCGATTCCAAACTGTTAACGTCTGACTGGTTTATGGAAAATGTTCCACAAAAGTCATCAATAACAAACAATGTTTTCTGGTTTGGATTGTAGAACTTAATAATGTCATGTGCATTGGTTACAAGAAGAACGTCGTAATCTTCATCAACCATTTTCAATGCCACATATTGAAGAGTTGCTGTTTTCCCAGAACCAGAACTAGCAGTAATAGTTACACAACTGTTCTCCTGTACACATGCCATTACATGTTTGGCAGCTTTGGTTTCAACAAAGTTGGAATTATTCATTCTCCATGCTTCCAAAATCTGTCTGATTTGTTCTGAAATTTATAAATATGAGAAAATTATGTCCTTTATCATCTTTAGATTTAGAGTGGTAGCAGTCTATAAGTTTACCAATTGTATATAATGGTGGCCTATATCGGCGAATATCATCTTTCCTGTTCATACTTAATCACGATTCATTATACACCGCATGGTTTACATTTAAAAACTTGAAAACATGGCTTTTTTGAAAAGGTCCTTTTCATTTGATAAACTCCCCATATTTATTTAAGTAGATTATCTTTGATTTCTAAACCATTTGGCTCTAAATGTTCGTGATGAAAAATATCAAGAAAAACTGCTCAAATTCAATAAAATTGGTAACTTGATATGTTTCTGATGAAAGGAAAATTTATCACTTATGAAAATTTCACTAATTTTGAAATGACAAAATACTGCAAAATAAATACATGATATATATATATATATATATATATATATATAAAAGATTTCTGGTCAAGATTGATAAAACTAGTATTCTGTGTTACTACAACATACTCCAGTCATTGTCATGATAGTCACACCTATAGAAATACATTTTTTTCGACATTGGACAAGATATTGTCCTTCTGTACAATGTATTACCCTGCTGAATAAAATCTCAACTAAAGTGCAGCTGCAAAATTAGGGTAGGATTGAATAATATTATATCAGACTGTTAAGTATTTTCATTTGCTTTGAGTCTATATAAAAAAGAAGATGTGGTATGATTGCCAATGAGACAACTCTTCACAAGAGACCACATGACACAAGAATCTACTTTGGTTAAGCTAGCAATAAAACCAGGTTTAACCCATTATTTTTTTGGGGGGAAATTCCTGTACCACATAAGGAATATGACAGTTGTTTTTCACTTGTTCCATTGATTGATAGCGTTTGAATTTGTCAGATTTTACGAACTTCCTCTTTTTGAATTTGCTTTGGAGTTCGGTATTTGAGTTATACTTTTTCAGTACTTGCAAGAAAGTCTTGGTATGGTTAAGTTACCCGTTTCTTTTTGCGTAACTATCAAAAACATATCACTGAAAAGAACTTGCTTTTGCGAGAACAAATATATATAGAAGAGAGAAGAGGGACGAAAGATACCAGAGAGACAGTCAAACTCATAGATCGAAAACAAACTAACATGTGCCATGGACAGATATAGTTTAGGGATGGACATATAAAAATCAAATAATTGCCTATGACCTTTTATGTCAAATGCCAAGGTCATTATTCATGGTACACAACACATTATATTGAGTGTTGCACCTATGTGTAAGATATCAAAATTAAAGCCTTTGTAAAAATACAAAGTTAATGTTCAAGACAATCAAATTAAAAGAAAATTTCAATGGTCAAGGTCAAATGATGGTCTTGATAATAATAAAAACTGACTTATTGTAAAAATATCCTTGCCAAATATCATAAGCAAGCTTGTGTCAAAAGGTAAAAAAAGAGTAAAGCCTCGGCTAACCATTTGGGCAATGCTGACCCATAACTTGAATAAATGGAGAATGTGTCTATGGGCCACAGATGCACCCGCTTGTAAATATGCATGAGTCAACTTCCACATGCAGATGCAGGATTCATGTCGTTAAGACTGTTTTGTGATTATAAGCATTGTGTATAAGTTTCATAGCATTTGGTTGAGGCAAACTAAGATTAGAGAACGGAAGCGACAGATTTAGCAATTTTTCCATGTATAAAGGGGCATAACTCAAGAAAGTAACGCCACCGATTTTCTAACATGATATGTGTTTTGGGGTAAAAATCATTGTGTATAAGTTTCATAACATTTGATTGAATCAAACTAAAGTTAGAGAATGGAAACGAAAAATTTAGCAATATTTATGTTAATAATGGGGCATAACTCATGAACGGTAAAGTGACGCCACCCAATTTCAACTTGATATTTATTTTGTGGTAATAATCATTGTGTTAAGTTTCATAACATTTGTTTGAGGCAAACTAAAGTTAGAGAACGGAAACCAATTTGTGGGGACGTTCGGGACGGACAGGGACATACGGGACGGACGGACGGACATGGATAGCACTTAATGCCCCCTCCGTTACGGCGGGGATATTAAAAAGGTTTCTTACTAATTTGAAAAATTCTGTCTTGCTGATCTTTTTTCCTGTTCAACATTTCTATGTGTATGCTATAGATTTCCACAACAAGTTGAATTGGAAGCCAGCTGCTGCTTCATTATTTTACCCCCGCTTCAAGTATTCAGTAGACAGGAAGTAGATCAGCAATGGATGTGAAAAAAATTACACACTTTAGCATGCTCACATAAGGCTAGATATCAAACTTCAGGATGGTCAAAGTTACTAAGAAACATTAAAAAAAATTTAATGGTCATCATGTGTAGGAGTATTTAGACATTTGATAAACTAGAAGTTGATTAGCCATGAAAAAGAAAATCCATCGCATGGTGAAGCCTGCTCTAGAATCTGAAAATAAGTCAATCCGTAATTTTCATGACAAAAATAAATGAAGAGGATTATAGAGAAATAAATAAAATTTCTTTGAGGAGTCCTCCTATAATTTTAAACGAATACAATTCTTGAACTTATACTATGAGATAGATTCTGACCCAGCATTGTTATAGTTTCCCTGGTAGATTCAGGTTGGTAGTTTTCGGATAAAAGATAAAAACATGGCGATTGAAAAAAAACGAAGAACAACGAATGCCAAGTCGTAGCCAACACGTCCCCTTACACAAGAAGAGGTAAAAAGCAAGTATTTGTTCATATTTTTTATCACAATTTGAGTCAATTTATACAATTCCATATCACTGTACTAAATATTACTTTATGTAAGTTTTGGTGTTGACATTTAAAGTAAGAAATACTGAAGTATGTTCTACAGTTTTGGCCCTTTCCTTTTGTTTTGCCGACATAGTGATGTTTGATCTAAAGTATTGGTCCTTTCCTCTTGTTTGTAGGTCCGGGTTTTTTGCCAAAAGTTATTGTAATTACGTCTTATTTTCCAAAACACGCAAAGAGTGGTTGCTTAAATGTTTTGATCCTTACCTCTTATGTTCCAAGGTACTGTCGACTGTTCTAAATGTTTTGTTCCTAACTCTTTACATTCATCAAGAATATTGTTACCACCTAGTCTTCCAACAGCCTGCAAACATCCAATAGATGTTATACATTATTTCATGCATAGCTTCTAGTCAATTTACTATATATGACTTCTTTCTATTTTGTTATATGCTGAAAGTAACCAATTTTTAATCATAATGATACACATTCCTGTTTCTTTTTGTTTAACCTGTCCTTTCATTTTATTACCTATTTTAAATAATTGATATAAAAAATAGTAAAAGTCATAATAAATTTGTCCATTTGAAACCTTTTGAAAAATAAAAGGCTCCGTTAAACCTGAATCCCTCATCTGGCGACAAAAAGACATTTCGTTAGGTGCCAGCCGACTCCCACCAACGGATTTGCTCGCGTTGTTATTTTACTTTTTTTTTTGCACATTCCCCGTTTCCATTTTCAATTTTATTTCGATATGAAGTTTTACTTTTTCGGAATTATTTTATTTTAAGAAACAGACTTCTCATTTGGAAATATACAGCTTTTTCAATGGCATTATATTTATGCTGGACCACATCCATCGATTTGCAGACCGTTGTCTGATAATTACAATATTTGTTGACCAAACACCAGTACAGGACCAAACCTTTAGACCAAACATCACTATGTCGGCAAAAAAGGAAAGGACAACATTTAACATAGATTTTTCAGTTTGTTTCAAGAAAATTTAATGCGACTGTCATACAAGTGAGAGGTTTAGCTAGCTATAAAACAGGTTAAATCCACTATTTTTCTGCATAAGACATGCCTGTACCAAGTCAGGAATATGACAGTTGGTTTCCTTAGATGTGTTTGGGCTTTTGATGTTACCATTCTAAAAAGGACTTTCCGTTTTGAATTTCCCTTGGAGTTGGGTATTTTTGTTATTTTATTTTTTTTTAGCACATTCCCTGTTTCCATTCTCAATCTGATTTCGATATATGCTGAACCACATCCATCGATTTGCAGACCGTTGTCAGATGAAATTAAGGCAAGCATGGACACAGGATCTGTATTTCAATCAGATTGTAAAGAGTTATCATTTAAGGACAATCAAACAATTTTATTTATTATTCATGTTTGTATATCTTGTATGGCTGATCACTGTTATGATGATAGTTTCTGCCTATCCCTATGTGTTTCAGATAAATAGCCAATAACTCAAAAATATGTTCAACATTGTCATTTGAGTTTCAGTTTTTAGGTACAGTTTACGTATATTGTCATCCTTTTATTTTGAGCTATGTTGTCGAACGCTTGAGATTCATAAAGCGTTGTTTTCATTTTTGTTGTTGATATAGACGACATTCAATAAATCATAAAATTTAACATATGTTTAACTGTTTGTTTCAAGAAAAGCGAAGCTCCATAACCATAACTTAATTATGTAATTTCGATGAAAACGTCTAACAATATTTAGATTTTTCAGTAAAATATATCAAAATGAAAATAGCAAAAATTTAGGATACTGTCTTCTTGTCATTAAAAAGCATCTTTCTAAATTTCATAAAATTCCATGAAGGTTTGACAAAGTAATTGATATTAAAAAAAAGACGTTAAACTAAACCTAAATGTTTACGCAATTAACGTTCACAACGAAATTGCTATGTTTATAAAACGGAATCACAGAAGTTGTGTTCAGCCGACGTTTTTTTACAATACTAAAAGGAATGTAAAAGTCCCTGACTCCAGTAAAAATAGTCAAATGGAACTGATGATATAGCACGATCAACAGAATATGACCACATAAAATCCTACTAAATACGAAACATTTATGTTAAACGGTCTCTGAGTATTGATGTGTTTCAGACACACGAAGGAGAGATGGACAAATGGACAGACAGACGGACGGACGAATGGAAACATATTTCCCGCGTTCTGCGCCACAAGGGACGAAAATAGATGTAGCTGTAAACAGATATATTGCATAGTTATTTCTTAAGTGTTGTTTTCATTTTTTTTTTGTAGATATAGACGATATTTGTTAAATCATAAAATTTAACATAGGTTTACCTGTTTGTTTCAAGAAAAGCGAGGCTCCTAATCGTGATTATATAATTTCGATGAAAACGCCTAACCATATTCAGATTTTTCAGTAAAATATATCAAAATGAAAATAGCAAAACGCTTAAGTTAAAAAAAATCAAACGCATAACCTGAGGACAGCATAACATCGCTTTTGTTTTATGAATTAATCAATATGAAGGGTAAATCTTATAGTGAGAGGAACCTTGTGACATAAAAAAAGTGAGATATTTGGAAATCATCATTCATGAACAATAGACAAGCACTTAACCGTGTGTCATCCTCTAAAAACATAGTCTAAACTAGTTGCTAAATATGTTTAACAGAGAATTCAACGAGCTGTGTACACTGGGTTTGTAAACTCACAAACTGAATAAAAGTATTTGAGTCAGAACCTTATTATACATGCAATAACAATAAAATTGAGAATGGAAATGGGGAATATGTCAAAGAGACAACAACCCGACCAAAGAGCAGACAACAGCCGAAGGCCACCAATGGGTCTTCAACGCAGCGAGAAAATCCCGCACCCGGAGTGGTCCTCAGCTGGCCCCTAAATAAAATTGTGTACTAGTTCAGTGTAAATAGACGTCACACTAAACTCCAAAACATATAAAAGAACTAAAATTAAAAAACATACAAGACTAACAAAGGCGAGAGGCTCCTGACTTGGGACAGGCGCAAAAAAGCGGCGGGGTTAAACATGTTTTGTGAGATCTCAACCCTCCCCCTATACCTCTAGCCAATGTATAATAAAGAAACACATAGCAATACGCACAGTAAAAATTCAGTTTAAAAGAAGTCCGAGTCCGATGTCTGAATAGGTAACAAAAGAAACTAAGCAAAATGACAATGATACATAAATGAACAAAGGACTACTAGCAGTTACTGACATGCCAAATCCAGACCTCAATTAAACTGATTGAAAGATTATGTCTTCATCATACGAAAATCAAGTACAATCTCTCCCGTTAGGGGTTTAGTATCAACATCTAGCAAAACATTGTTTTATCTTAAAAAAACACATGTTATTTTTCCTTTAAAATTTATCTTTCCGTAAATCTCTGGATTCTGTTTTTGTGTATCATGCGTGAATATTTCACAGTGAAATCTGCATTATGTTTAAATAAGAATCGAAAGTAGTTTCTACAGAGTGTAACATAGTGTAAACCAGGTAAAGAAACTATTTCGGACCAATCACATTTAAGTGAATGTGGATATGCAACCTCAAAAGAACAAATTGTATAATGTCTTTCAATCCAAATCAAATTCCCTTCTGATTAGTAAATGAGGATAAAAAGTATAAGGTTGGCGTCGACAAATAGCGTATCACTCACTTATCCCAAAAATATAAAGTAAATGGAAGTTTTTCATGAACAAAAGGAGATGAAAGACACATACTGTTAAGTCGAGGTCACTTCAAGTGTCAAACAAATGCTTACTCATAAGTGATTCCAGTATTAAATGGTTAGGATGTACTTGTTCTTGAAATAAGGAAGATAAATTTTTCTTTCAATTTCATATGACAGGTCGATTTACACTTGTCCCAAAAGTATTGGTTTCGATGTACTTATACATTACATTGATACAAGCTATGCTTACTTCCAGTTAGATGAAGGTCACTTTAGGCTGTCTTCCAAATTAATACTAAAGACCCCATGACGTTATCATGTCTCAATATGAAGTTATAGCTATGATCAAAATCTAGAACATTAATTTTACCTTTGACCTTGACATCAATTAAATTTCGGTGTCATGAAGCAAAAACTGCTAATCAAATGACCAAAAATATGGCAAACGAGTTATATCATCATTCATACATCTTTATTTAGGGGAGAATACTCCTATTATAGGAAAATTTTACCTTTCGACCATCTTTTTTTTCAGAAACGACAAATATTAACTACTCATCATGTCAGTACCGAAGTACTGACTACTGAGCTGATGATACCCTCGGGGACTGATAGTCCACCAGCAAAGGTATTGACACAGTGCGGTAAAAAACGAAAACAATACGTTAATAAGTTTATGCGTCCGAAGTGCTTTCCTGGATTTACCTTCATTAGGAACACTCAAAGCCGAATATTTGAAAGCCGTGAATGTATATGAACCAAAACAGTTGAAGAGCTATATACCCAAAAGGTACCTAAAACATAGCCAAATCCATCTAAGGTCAACTTTGCCCGATGTAGTTGAAACCGTGTAAAAACTTATATTTCAGGGGCAATAACTCCATATTAAGTCATCGGATTTTTCATATATGTTTACAGGTAGAAAGAACTTGCCATTTTGATCATTTTGACATTTTTACTTTAAAAAAACAAACGACTGGGCTGAATAAAGTTGTCGTCAATTAATTTCCAAGGGAAACCATATAAAAATATTTCCCTAGGAACTATAAGATTTCTGATGCAAAATATCGTCAAATAGTACCATCTTACCTTCTATTTCCCCTGGAAACTTTTCATGAATACCGGTTGAAATGTATAGCTTCACATGGAAATATTTTCGTTAAAATATATTTTTTTTGGATATTCTTTTTCATTAAAAATATTCCTATATTTGTAGATATTTTATTTGTATCACTCATCATCGTCTGATAGTTCGTGTTTATCTTTGGTTAAACTTTAAAAGTAAACTTAGACGATTTCAATAAGTAATATTGAATCATGTTCAGAAATCTATGTATTTTTTTTACATTGTATATGGAGGAAAGTCAAATTCCTATTATTTCCCACACACAAAAAAAAAAAAAAAAAAAAAAAAAAAAACACGTTCCCTTTGACAATTATTCATTTTCTCAATAAAAAAGATGAAATTGATAAGTGTATATTTTTCAAAAGTGTCTATTCCCTATTTCCAGTTCGTTACACTATTAATCTGTTTGTATTCCTTTGAAATGATTAAGTATTCCGATAGAGTCAGCTGTATTTCAGTAGCAGTGCTAAATCATCCCTGAGTATGTTTACCGGGAAACAAAAGATGTTAATATATTATCCCTGACTTGTTTCCCCATGAAAA